TTGCTTTTGTATAATGTTATTATTATTAGCAGTATTATTTATTATATCCATATTTATATTTGTTTTATTAAAAACAAGCTTAGATTTGTCCACCTGTCAGGTTTTAGACCATATGGGGCACAGCATGTGTATTAGGATATAACTCAGTTGTTTGAGCACACTTCATTATTATTGTTCATTTATTCGCTTGCTGGAGATTAGAACTGAATTTAGAAATAGTTTTGAGACAAATATTTGCGCTTAACAAACAAAATTAATTATTTATAGGCTAATAGATGTCGAGAGTGAAAGTTAATCATGGATCTCTCATTCTCGCGCTGTAGATGCTCTGTTTAACTGTTTTCTTGCTAGTCAGTTTTGTACACACATAACATGTGTGTTATGTACACTTACTTTTTGTCATGTAAATAGCAAATGTGCTTATGGCTCGATGTAACTGGCTCTTAAAGGGACTGTGAAATGAGACTCTGATTCTCAAAACACACCTATAACTCATTAAGAAAATAAAGTCAACCCTTGAAATTAGGGGTGGTGCAGTGGGTAGCACAATCGCCTCACAGCAAGAAATTCACAGGTTCGAGCCCCGGCTGGGTCAGTTAGCATTTCTGTGTGGAGTTTGCATGTTCACAGATAATTTAGCTTACCCAATTCCCCTATACCGCATGTCTTTAGACTTGTGGATGAAGCTGGAGCACCCGGAGGAAACCCATGTCAACATGAGGAGAACATGCGAACTCCACACAGAAACGCCAACTGACCCAGCCGAGGCTCAAATCAGCGACTTTCTTGCTGTGCTAACCACTTAGCCCTAATTATGCAATCAGATACAGTCAAAATTATTCAGCCTTCTTTTGAAATAGTTATTATTTTCAAATATTTCACAATAGGGTCAGTTTATGAAACCCTGATGTAATCGGTCAGTTTATTCAGCCTTTCATTTTCCTAATTAGACCTGAATGTTCAATACTTCTGATCCAATACTCGTCCTTTTAAGGCAGCGTTTCATCTGGAGTCAATACTTGAGTGAGATTAATGCCATTAACTAAAGTACAAAACCGTGTGGCTTGAAGAGATGCTCCGTTTCAGGAGGGATTGTCTGTGCTTTTCTGCCCTCATGTGGTCAACAAAATACATCTGAAATAAATCTGTTCACTGGATTACAGCTGGCCATTTTCCTACCCAAGTTCTTTAAAATCTTAGTGATCTTGGTGTGCTGGAGAACAGAAATAATGCAGAAATAAAGTGTTAATGTTGCATATAAAGGTGGCATAGCTAAAGTTATCTGAAGACAGGAATGCCAAAGAAATATTTTACAGTTAAAACTATGCATAACAGAAATGCAACCCTGCAAATACAGGAATAGCACTTTGTTCCTTGGCTTAAATTCATAATAGGAGTGTAAAAAAATCAAGCTTGCTTGTGTTTGTCATCTCACTTTCACTTAGTTCAAAAGAACTAATGCAACCTTATATGCAGTTGTATCCTGAATGTTTAACCCAATAATCATCATCTGATGTGGATTAGGTGAGGCAAAAAAAGCACAGGACCTATTTTTTCTTGCCTATTGGTGGGCTTACAATGTGAGGTCACGGTTAATTAGTTAATTTATGCATGGAGGGTATAAATATTAGTATAAATATAAATATTAGCATTTTGTAAAGAACAGTCCTCCCTTTGTAACAACTCTTCTTTTTTCTGCTTTACTGTCTTGTTTTATTTGTGTTACACAGTGTTGAAGGCAAAGCATTACAAGTGACGTGAGTTACATAATAATAGTACATTTCAAAAGTAACGAGTAAAGTAATGCATCACTTAAAAAATAGTTGGAACATTTAAAAAGTAGTAAATTAGTAATATTTGAGCTTTTATGACTTTTTGGTCTACATGGTGACTCTTTTGTTAAATTGATGGAGATTGAAAGTATATAGACAAGTGTGTTATTGCTGTATTTTTAATTATTATGTTTGTTTACTAACAGTGGGGGAAATAAGTATGGAACACATTTGTCAATGGGGTAAGAAATAATATTATTTCTTAAATCTTATATACACACCTATATATATATATATATATATATATATATATATATATATATATATATATATATATATATATATCCAATCAGCATTAGACCAAACCCTGATAAATAATCTAGCATGTCCTACCTCCTTTCAGCATTCCTCTGCTACCCAGACTCCTCAGCTTTAAACCTAATCCCTATGTGAATTAGGTGTGCAACACAGAACAAGTTTTTCCATTCCAATGCTCCGGTTTTACATTGTTTTTCCAATGTAAACATGTGATTTTTCTCTGAGATTTTCTCTCAGATTATTGAACTTGCTTTAAGGAGAAACTCACTTCATTTAGACTCATTATTTCTGAAAACAAGACATTATTTGTTGCTTGTCTAGAAAATGCTTCTTGATTTAAGAAATGTTAGATATTTGAACCAGAAACAAGAGGAAAAAAACAAAATGTAAGAACATTTTTGTAAGTGTATTCATTAAATTTAGATGTGTATTCCCATTTTTAATTACTTTAAAATTGAATAAAAAAGGAGTAATGACGTGTACATTAAGGTACAAACATAAGCTTTAATCATAATTACACTGCACTTGATTAAAGCTAAAGCTGTAATGGCAACACTTGTGTTTTAGTACCAGTTAACTAGTGTCTTATTATCTGCATATTGGTAAAATAATGGCTGTTTATTAGTCTTTATAAAGCACAATATTCTGCATGCTCTTATTCTCCATCCCTAATCCTTCCCAAAACCAACTACTACATTAATTACTATCAATAAGAGGCAAATTCTGAGTTTATTCACGCAAAAGTCAAAGTTAATGGTTTAATAATAGTGAGAACTGAAATAAACTGTGTCCGCTGTGATCAGATGATTGTCTTCATAGCTGTTTACGTCTGTTTAATGTACATGAAGAGCTTTATGATTACTCCGGAGCACTCGTACATCTAATACAGTCCTATGATGTGCTACAATCCTTTTGAGAAACACATTGTAACATTAAGATCAGTCATACAATCATCTTTACGATCTGCTTAGGCTTACAATTCTTTTGGGAAATGCAGCCGGGATCCATATGCTGAAATATAGGTCAAGTACATCTAGCACATTAAACATACAGCAAGACATTCATTTACTGTCAGAAACTACAGCTCACAGACAACCAGCTTCAACCACAGATATATGAGAGAGCTATTCTCATCTTTTAACCCAGGTAAACTGCTTATTCTCTCACTCCTTCCACGCCAGTATTTGTATTCGTAAGTTGTCAGACATCGCCAGTATTTTTGAAGATTTTCCCCTAAACCTGACGGCCCTCAGAATATTTTCTGAAAAGAATATATGACCATTTTATATATCATTTTATATATCTTTTATATATCATTTTATATATTATATATATCTTTTAAACAATGAAAAGCATTTTACCACCACCTGAATGCACTGTAAGAATGCTTTTCTTTTCATGATAACACACACATTTACACACCTGTATATATAGGAGGGAGGAGCATGTGTAGATGTTTTGACCAGGCTAATTCATCATTGACAATAATTCTATCCAATTCTACCCATTCAGCATTAGACCAAACCCCTATAAATATTCTAGCATGTCCTACCTCCAAACTTTCAGCATCCTTCTGTTACCCTGACTCCTCAGCTTCAAACCCAATCCCTATGCAAATAGGGGGGTATTCAACACAGAACGAGTTTTTCCATTCCAATGCTCCAGTTTTACATTGTTTTTGAATGTAAACACACGCTTGACAGATGTCCATGGCCATTATGCACACATCTCCTGTGTTTTGAAGCACTGTGCACATGAGCATTGTGTTTTTTCAACCCAGGCTTTCTGAAAACGTATCTCTATATACATTTCTGGAGAGCGCCAAATACATCCCAGGAGCTAAATTTTTTTGGCAGTTTTCATGAATCCACCAGAGGCCGCTATGTACGCTTTTAACACATTTTTCCTCACATTTCTCTCACGAGTGCCATTCACACCTGCTGTTCTCACGTAAATCCACCAGAGGCCGCTGTCAACTTACTGACTGACCGGCCAACTGACCCACTCTCCTCCTTCCCTAAACCTAACCAATAGTGTTTTTTTGAAAGCAATCCAGATAAAGAAAAGCGCTCGCCTGATTTTTACCATGTTTTCAGATTTTACCACATTCCCACCCTGTTATTTACTTCTTTATTTTATTATTTGGCTTTTGTTTTTGTCTTACCTGCGTTCTTTGCTGGACTCGAACCCCGTCATCGTGGTCAATTACGTTCTGCGTCTCAAGTCTGCCAACGTACATGGCGAGCCAGTGGACAAACTGGTAACAGCGGGAAATCCGTCCACATGGAGGTAAGCGTTTAGCGCGAAAAGGAACGACTTCATACCGCCCTGTAGCGTTCGTTTTAAAGACGAAATGCAGCCATACGTACCTCTGGCTACATGATCTGCTGCCAGGGTTCGGCCATATAACACGTTCAGTATGATCACGTGACTAGATTCCAGCAACAAGTCACGACAGAAACATTTAAATACCAACCACTGCACTGCCAACGAAATGGAATGGATTATAATCTAATCACATACATATTAAACCTCTCTAACATTATTAACAGGCGACTGAGTGACTGACCACGGGGCACTGAATCACAGTTCTGACTTTCATTATTAATCCATTCGATAACTATTGTATCTAAGATCTGAGATGAACTATCTGCTGCTGCTTTCAGGACGGCAATATATGTCATGTGAAACGATACACTCAAAATACTAGCATTTATCACTGAATAAAGCACATAATCTGTACCTGAGCTGATCAATGTCATAGTAGTTTTTGCTGTTGACTTTCCAGAAATAGAAACCACTTCTAAAATAGAAATGTACTGCATTCTCATGCGCTAGGGCTTCCCTTACTGTAACACACCTAAAACACGGATTGCAGTAAAAACAAAAGAGTGGCAGAAAGTGACTTACGGTCTGCACACAGCGGTCCTGCATACGTGGTCATGCTGCAGTCGCAGGTGAAGTTCTCCCACTGCTGCAGACAAACGCCCTGATTGGCACACGAGTCCTCCTCACAGCTGCTGCTGGGCCCTGCGGACATCCCATTGGTTAAATTTGCACAGTGGGTGGAGCTTAGGGTTGCAAAAGGGTGGACAATTATTAATTTTTACTTCAGCTTAGTCCATTATTTATCAGGGGTTGCCACAGCGGAATGAACTGCCAACTATTTCAGCATATGTTTTACATGGTGGATTCCCTTCCAATTATATATATACAATTAAAGTCAGAACTATTAGCCCTCCTTGTTGGAGCCATTTCTTTCTTTTATTATTGTTATTATGTTTGGATTAAATGGGTTGATTGGATGATGTGATTATTGTTATTATTATTAAGTTTACATTTGATAATTATTGTATTCAGATTAAAAGAATTTAAATTCGTATATTATTCATGTCAAGGTATTTGCTTTATTGTTTTGACTTAGTGAATGAAGACTTTTATTCTGTCGAAATTGGGATTTCAGGAAGCCAGGTAGTAGGTGGAGTAGTGAGGGAAGAGGAAGAATTTTCCAATCGTGAGTTTATGTGTGGTGACGGGTGCTACTGAGGAGCAATGGAGCTATTTCACCCATTTGATGGCACAAGATGTGACAAAATACCAACCCAGGCTCATTCTGAAAACGTAGTCCAGCGGACGTTTCTGGATGGACTTCAGATGCAGAGAGGAGGAGTTGACAAAGGCGTCCGGGTTCAAGTCCGGGGAAGAGCAGTTCCAGAAACCAGGTAAGACAAAAACAGAATCCAAAAAATAAAGCGAACGAGTTCATAACAGGGTGAGAACGTGGTGAAATCCGAAAACGTGGTTAAAAAAAAAAAAAATCTGACGAGGGTTTTTCTTTTTCTAGACGGTTTTTCTAAATTGTTGCTCGGGTTTAGGGAAGTGAGCGGGCGGGCGGGTCAATCGGTAAAACTGGTTGGGTTCAGGGAAGGAGGAGGGTGGGTCAGCCGATTGGCCGGTCGCGCAGTCAATCATTCGGTCAGTCAGACAGCGGCCTCTGGTGGGTTGACGCGAGAACAGCACGGGTGCAAACGGCACTCGCGAGAGACGTTTGGGATACGAAAAAGCGCGCACAGCGGCCTCTCGCGGATTCGCGAAAACAAAAACTGCACAAATACGTACCTCCCAGGACATTTTTCGCGGTCTCCAGAAACGTCCGCTGGACTACGTTTTCAAAATGAGCCTGGGTTGCAAAATAGAGATGAGGAAAGGATTCACAGCAGACTCATGTGTCATTGATTACCCTTACTGCGATATCGGCTTATAATACGTATATATTTTCCCCAATTTCTAATCTAAAACAAATACTGACCGTAAAATGTTTTTAAAAAAACGTTTATTACCTTCACATCCTCTCTCGATCTGCCCGACACAGACCAGCGCTTCGGTCATCAGGTCTGGCAAACGCCCGTTCAGATCCACAGACGCCAGACAGCCCTGAAACCCTTCTTTTGCATGAACTAACTTGGGCAGATCTTTATACATCTGCTCTGGAACACCACCCACAAACAAATCACCTGCAAACACAGCCAGAGAATACGGGATTAGAAGAAGTTGGATTATAGTTGACAAGCAACAACAGTTTCTTAATAAAAGCAGTTTAGCCTTAATAATGAACCTCTTGAATGAAGCTAAAAGAGCACATGTCACTCCGCTGCTCATCCGTTTGCACTGGCTGCCAGTTGCTGCTCGCATCAAATTCAAAGCTCTGATGTTTGCTTACAAAGCCACTTCTGGCTTTGCTGCTCCTTATCTGCTCTCACTTCTGCAGATGTATGTGTCCTCCAGAAACTTGCGTTCTGTGAATGAACGTCGCCTCGTGGTTCCATCCCAAAGAGGGAAGAAATCACTTTCCCGAACTCTCGCGTTCAATCTGCCCAGTTGGTGGAATGAACTCCCTAACTGCATCAGAACGGCAGAGTCACTCGCTGTCTTCAAGAAACCACTAAAAACTCAACTATTTAGTCTCCACTTCACTTCCTAATCTGCAATTGCCTCTCTGTTTCTACCGCTTACTGTACTATAAATTTTTTTTTTTTAATTATTAATATTTTGCTTTTTACACTTTACACACCTGAAACTCGCCTACAGCACTTATTCATTGTTGCTCTTATAGTTGTGTAAGTTGCTTCCTTGTCCTCATTTGTAAGTCGCTTTGGATGAAAGCGTCTGCTAAATGACTAAATGTAAATGTAATTGTAATAATTGGCTTATGGGTGGCTCAGTGGTTAGCACTGTGGCCTCATAGCAAAAAGGTCACTGCTTCGAGCCTCAGCTAGGTCAGTTGGTGTTTCTGTGTGGAGTTTGCATGTTCTCCCCGTGTTAGTGTGGGTTTCCATTTGGGTGCTCTGGTTTCCCAGTATTCACACACTGTGTTTAAACCCCCTATAAAAGTGATTTCTGCATAATAGCTGCCCTTTAATGTAAATGTGTGTAATATACCTTTCAGGTCCAGGTTTTTGGCTCCCAGTGTGGTCTGGCTGGTGGTTTTGGTGTCGATTCTGACCGTGTGCAGGTTATTGGGGTCTCTGGAGATCATCACGTTGTGCCAGTGGTTGTCATTGAGAGGTTTAATTGAGTTTCCCTTAATGAGATGAGCACCGTTTCCCAGATCAGAGATGTAATGCAGATAGCTGAACAGAGAGAAAATGTAATTAACCGCACATGCAATTATAGAACATTTAGAGTATAAACAGCCCTGATAATTATTATATACAAAGCTACATCGTACAAAACTGCACATTAGTAGGTGCAAGCTAGGCTTATGATGGTATTATTATGTTGTTAATAAATGGTATAGAAAATACAGTATACGATATTATCATATTAACCGAAGCTGCTAAAAAGCATTTAATTCAAATCAACAGTGTGAAATAACCACATTTATTACAGCTACTACTTTAATATTAGCTAAAAAATGCAACAGAATTTCATTATTTACTATTTTTGTTTCAGAAAATGTTTACAACTTTTATTTTAACAGCTAAGATTAATAAAAGCTTCTGGTTCATTGTGAGAAAGTTGCCATCTTGAAAGTGCAATGCTTACATGTCGCATTTTATTTAGCGATATTTAACGTTGTGCCTGTAATCATTGATTTTGAAGTGTTTTATTTGCAACCCTACCCTAGAAACAAATGTTTTGCAGTAGCACATTTTCCCATTGAGCCCGTGTTGTCCATAACTTACCCTTTCACCAGCTCTACAGCGATAAAATCATTGCCATCTCCACTATTATAGAGTATGAGTCCGTCTGCGGAGGTGGTCTTGAACTGGAAAAACAGGTACATGTAGTAATACGCCTGTAAAGACGGCAGCGTCACGTAGCTGGAGCAGGACTTGAACGTCACCGGATCTGCGATGATGCTCTTAAAGCCGATTGGAGCGTTGGTTTGGCAGTAATCGATGTCTCCGTTCTTGCACAGGTCGATGTACGGCTTACCATTAAACATCAGGCTCTGGAGATGTCCAATAAAGTTGGAGGGCATTGTGGGTAACTGGCGTTTTCCTGTAATGATGCCGGTCTCGATGTTGTGAAACTCTAGCTGCGTGTGGTCGCCTGGTATCTCTCCTGTTTTTATGTATAAAAGTCAGAATTATTAGCCCTCCCGAATTATTAATTTCTGTTTAACAGAGAGCAGATTTCTTCAGCGCATTTCTAATCATAATAGTGTTAATAACTCATCTCTAATAGCTGATGTGTTTCCTCTTCTCCATGATGACAGCACATAATATTAGACTAGATATTCTTCAAGACACTAGTGTTCAGCTTAAAGTGACATGTAAAGGCTTCACTAGGGTAATTAGGGTAAAGTTAGGGTAATTAGGCAAGTCATTGTATAACAGTGGTTTGTTCTGGAGACAATCCAACACTAATATTGCTGAAGGGGCGAATAATATTGACCTTAGCATGGCTTTAAAACAAATAAGAACTGCTTTTATTCTAGCCCAAATAAAACAAATAAGACTTTCTCCAGAAGAACAAATATTAGAGGAAATACTGAGAACAACTCCTGAATCTGTTCAACATCATTTGGAAAATATTTGACAAAGAATAAATATTGCACAGGACGGCGAATAATTCTGACTTCAGCTGTTGTAAAGCATTCAGAACAGTGAAGGATTCTTGCATACAAATTGTCACAGCAAATGCATGTCAGGATATTGGTTATTTAGTTTAACATGACCTTTTTTTCTTGTCTTTCTGGCATTGTATTTACATTCTAAAATGCTTTTCCTACTTAGTTTTTGTCTTGTTTCTAGTCCAAATATCTACAAACTTTTAAATCAAGGAGCATTTTCCAAACATGCAAAACATAGTGTTGTTTTCAGAAATAATGAAGAGAGTTTTTCCTTAAAAACAATCATAATTCAAAGTGAAAACTTGATTGTTTATGTTACCCTTATTTATTGTCAGGTTATTGTGCTTGTTTTAATGAAAAACTCACTTCATTTTGACTGGTTATTTCTGATAACAACACTATATTTTGCATGTCTGGAAAATGCTTCTTCATTAAAGAATTTGTAGATATTTGGACTGGAAACTCAATGTGAGAAACGCATCTTAAGCATCTTATTAAACAATTCATATGAACACTTATACCTCTTATACATACAGTTATAGTTACTCTGTATATTAATAACTGCATTAGGAATACAAACACCAACAGTTTGTGACCTCAGACCTTAAATGTGGTGATTTTGTAAAGGAAAGACAGATCAGCAGAAGCACTTGGGCTGGCTGATGGAAAATTAAAAGTATATAAATTAAGTATACTATATTTAAAACCGAAATGAACAACAGTTGTTAATCAACAGTCTAATGCAATAAAATTGGAGCAGAATATCAGAGATAAATACCGTCTACAGTGGGCAGATCATCCACAGATAGTTTCAGACTCTTTCCTCTCCTGATCACGCGCACCGTGTGCCACTCATCATCATTCAGATTCTGACCCGCGAATAAGCTCTCGGGTCCCTTACCTGCGAGACAGCCCAGAAAACATTTCGATGAGTTCACTGTACTCAAATGGCCTCCACAGTCACCAGATCTCAATCCAATAGAGCAGCTTTGGGATGTGGTGGAACGGGAGATTGGCATCATGAATGTGCAGCCGACAAATCTGCAGCAACTGTGTGATGCTATCATGACAGCATGGAGCAAAATCTCTGAGGAATATTTCCAGTAGCTTGTTGAATCCATGAAGGATTAAGGCAAACCTGGTGCTAGTAAGGTGTACCTAATAAAGTGGCCGGTGAGTGTGATGTTTGATGCTTGATGTTTAAACGTGTCTCTTTTGTCAACTTCTCTGGTGAGGGAGGGTATGAATAGGCTACTATGTACAAATAGGCATTAACTAATAAAATTATAAACAATTGAGTCATTTTATTCACAATCATTTTTTATTTTTATTGTGAAATTCATTTTACAATTATTTTAAAACATTAAAAGTGACTGAATTAGGTGAATAAAAAATGATCAGGATTATGCAATGGATCAGGAATTTATCAAGATTTTGAGTCTTAAATTTGCATCTCTGAATGTTGCTTTGAATAGAATAAAATAATTAAAGTACATTAAAGACATTCACAAAGCTGCATCTTAGAAAAACCCCAGCACTAGTTGACGGGCGCTGCATGAGAGCTGCTGCTTGAAGAGTATGAAGCAGCCAAAAATCTCATTTGCAGCCAAATATGTAGGTCTAATTAATTTTTGCAAAAGAAAAGGATTACCTTGTGTCTTTGCTCTTCTCTCTTCATCAGTCTCTACCCAGAAAGCAGTAGGACACACATACTGTACAGCACATTACCCAGGAGCAACGCATGCAGATGTTTAACGAGTCTCATGGGCTTATGCTTTTTAATGAGGGCACGGCACGAGAGATCACATTTTCTTTGCTCCCTTGGCTTAAAATATTTTAGCTAAGGAATGAAATGTAATAACCAAATGGTGGCCATTTTAACTAAATGAATTCAAAACAAACATGTGACGGCAACTTTAAAGACAATGCCATAATTCAATTATTAGCTTAGATGTTCTTCACAAAAGCCATTGGTCATGTCAAACATATCGAGTCAAACATTAAAACTAAAAAGCAATCATCAAGCACAGCTCATTGGAAATACGCTTCAGCCTATATTTTTGTAAAACTGCAAAAAACATACTTGAACAAACGTTTGACTGCAGTTTGTGAATAAAATTAACACTAGGGGGCAGTGTGACAACAAAAGCTTTTATTTCTTTTCACACTAACGATATTTAAAGGGACATAATATTGACGAATAAAGGATTATTTTTGTGCAGTTCTTTGCACAACTCGAAATAAACATCACAAAACAACGAAATGCTTTCTATTAGTAATGAGTACGTAATGTTGACAGCTCCCTCTAGTGGATTCAACATCTGAAAAGTGCAACAAAACACACCCAGAGCAGCGTATTTTACATTTCGCAAAAATGTAAACAGCGCCGTCTAGTGGATTTGATATCTGAAACGTGCCACAAAATGCATCCAGAGCAACATTTTTTACATTTCGCAAAAATGCAGACCGCGACCTCTAGTGGATTCGACAAAACACACCCAGAGCAGCGTATTTTACATTTAGCAAAAATGTAGACAGCGCCCTCTAGTGGATTCGACAAATTGCACCCAGAGCAGAGTATTTTACATTTCGCAAAAATGTAGACAGCGCCCTCTAGTGGATTCAATATCTGAAACGTGCTACAAAACACACCCAGAGCAGTGTATTTTACATTTCGCAAATACGCAGACAGCGACCTCTAGTGGATTCGACAAAACACACCCAGAGCAGGGTATTTTACATTTCACAAAAATGCAGACCGCGACCTCTAGTGGATTCGACAAAACACACCCAGAGCAGCGTATTTTACATTTCGCAAAAATGTAGACAGCGCCCTCTAGTGGATTCGACAAATTGCACCCAGAGCAGAGTATTTTACATTTCGCAAAAATGTAGTCAGCGCCTTCTAGTGGATTTGACGTCTGAAATGTGACACAAACCACACCCAAACCAGCGTATTGTACATTTTGCAAAAATGTAGGGTTTGTGTTCAGATTTGACATCTGAAACGTGCTACAAAGCGCACCAAGAGGAACGTGTTTTACGTCACAAAAAATTTAGACAGCGCCCTCTGGATGATTTGACATCAAAAATGTGCTACAAAACACATCCAGAGCAACGTATTTTACGTTTTGCAAAAATGCAGACAGCGTCCTCTAGTGGATTCGCCAAATTTCAGCCAGTGCAACATATTTAACATTTTGTAAAATGTAGACAGCGCCCTCTAGTTGATTTGACATCTAAAATGTGCCACAAACGGCACCCAGAGCAGCGTATTGTGCGTTTTGCAAAAATGTAGGGTTTGTGGTTAGATTTGACATCTGAAATGTGCTACAAAACGCACCAAGAGAAATGTACTTTACCTGGCAAAAAATGTAGACAGCGCCCTCTAGTTGATTTGACATCTTAAATGTGCCACAAAACATATCCAGAGCAACATATTTTACATTTTGCAAAGATGTAGACAGCGCCCTTGAGTGGATTTGAAATCTGAAATGTGCTACAAAACACACCCAGGGCAACATATTTTACGTTGCAAAAATGTAGACAGCGCCCTCTAGTGGATTTGATATCTGAAACGTGCCACAAAACACACCCAGAGCAACAAATTTTACATTTTGCAAAGATGTAGACAGCGCCCTTGAGTGAATTTGATATCTGAAACGTGCCACAAAACACACCCAGAGCAACATATTTTCCATGGCAAAAAATGTAGACAGCACCCTCTAGTGGATTTGACATCTAAAATGTGCCACAAACCGCACCCAAAGCAGCGCATTTTACATTTTACTAAAATGTAGGCTGAGACACATACTGCCAATGAGCCTGGGTTGCCAGAATCTCTGATTACACAGATTAGAAAACAGTCAACAATAGTAAACAGCAGATATGAAAGAAGAGAAGTGTGACTTACTGGTGGTACAGTTAATCCTGTTACAGTCTAGATGGGGAAGAATAAACCACATGTAAATTCTGCCTTCAAAGTAAGATCTGCAGACACTGAAGCTCAAACCCAGTTCTCTGGGGACAAGCACACACCAATGATCCTGATGCTCAACCAACACACTCTTACCGGGAATATTGACTTTGTTAAACACAGCTGAGCAGTAATTAGGAACAACTTCCCACAAATAAGACACAAAATATTTTTTTTTTCCTAATTTCTCTTCTGTTCATTACTCTAGATGATTTTTAAACAATTGTTCTGGATTTTTTAAATATTTATTTACATTGTACTTTATTGGATTAGTGAACACTAGTAGACGTCATGTCTCTTATTTCTTCTGAGAGCATTTTGTTTTGAAACAGGGATACCTTTAAGCCAGAATTAGTTCAGCGTAAAATTCAATCCAATAAATATTCTTCAAACTGTTTGTTAGGGGTGCTTGCTTATGGAACAGAAAATCATAATCACGATTATTTTGGTCAGAATTGTAATTGTGATTATTTTCAATGATTATAGGTGAACCATATGGACAACACTTTATTACTGATTTATTTAAAGATATATATCTTTAATATAAAAAAGGAGCAATTTCTGTAATTTACACAAAAAAAATGTAAAATTTAAAAGATAGCAGATCAGGTAAATACGTTAATTATATATATATATATATATATATATATATTATTCTGTAAATAAGGTTGCTGTAACTCCAATACATCCCAGAGATTGTGAGATTTCACAATTCTCAATACCACAGCAGAATGAGTAACTAAAAACAAAGTAAAAATCCTCAAAATTATTTATAAAGAATAAAAGATCAAATAGAATTAAGATATACAAATTGCAATAATAAAAGTTAATTTGTTTCTTACTGAAGCTACAGTCGTGATTTTGTCTTTGTTGTTTTATTAATAATGATAAGCACAGTCGGCAGCAGGAATATAGTGTACTGTCACTTTAAGAGCAGCACGGATCCAATCTACTGTTACACGCTTCTCATTCTCAACTCTTTCTATTTGTTTATTACATAACAATCAAGGGCTTACGTGAGTAATGACTAAGTGTCACATTTTGAGACATTTTCTGCATGTATTTGAGCACTTCTTCTCATCTCTGAGGCATGCACACAACAGCACAAGCTCTCTGTAGCTTTTTTAAAAACCCGAATCAATTGAAATCAAGTCAATAAATCTGAAAAATCTAAAGAAATTTGGCATGCTAGTGCACCCTATTCATGAGAACTTCCAACTAATTTAAGCTCAGCATTTTTGCTTTTATTATTAGTCTTATTACAATCACAATTGTACCGCTATGGGGAATGTATTTGAAGAGATCATGCGGCGTGTGTTTTATAGAGCACCAGTCATTGGTCAGGCTGAGACGACTGCATGATCAACCTCTCACTAATCAACATTTCTTCAATCTTTGCAGCTCACCATAACATTGCTTACAAACAAACTTCTATAAGTTGTATAGATAACGCTTTACGTGAAGGGGTGTTCATAAGAATATGAATGACATTTTATGAATGAACTGTTAAATTAAGTGTCATTCACTCAGATAAGTCATTTTAAATGCAAAGGTGACATTGTTAGTGGTGTATTAGTAATGACAATTAATAAGACAACATGTCCTAAATCTAACATAAACATGACTGTCATGAAGTCATTAATATTGTGCCGTTTTCTACATAGTTCTGGCTACAATTACTGTAATAATCAGTGAAAAATAATTTTAAAAAATAATCAGTTTTCTTCCCCCATTGTCAGATTATTTTGCTTGTTTTTTTATATATATATATATATATTTTTTTTTTAGGGGTTTTCAACTTTATTGATAGGACAGTGGAAATATAGAGACAGGAAAGTGTAGGGAGCAGAGATAGAGGAAGGATCAGCAAAGGACCTCGAGGCGAAAATCGAACTCGGGTCACTGCGAGCACCTCTGTGCTATGTGTTGACGCACTAACCACTAGGCTATTGGCGCCGACTATTTTGCTTGTTTTAAGGAAAAACTCACTTAATTTTGACTCATTATTCATTAAAACAAGACAATATTTTGTGCTTGTCTAGAAAATGCTTCTTGATTTAAGACTTTTTTTGTTATTTGGACTAAAAACAAGACAAAAACTCTAGATAAGAACAGCATTTTTGCAGCGATCTAACTCAAATAATGCTTATTGAGCCAATCAAATCCAGCTGACATTTCACATCTGATCTGACAGTGCGCTTAATCTGCATAGAAATGAGACGTGTTTGAGTATAAACAGAGTGACGGTGATTGTGAGTGATTCTGGCCCTCTGCACTGAAATAATAAGCTGATTTATTAAGATATGATAAGAAGTGGACCATAAGCAGCGTCTCAGTCTAGTGTGTGTGTGTGTCAACCTCAGCAGAGAAACAACACACACACTCAAACACCAGAGCTGGCTCATCATGACAGGAGACGATCTGAGACACACTTTCATATTCACTAAGGGCACTATCATACACCCGGCGCAGTGTGGCGCAAGGCGCAGCGCAATAGTCTTTTGCTAGTTTCAGCTTGGCGCAAGAGTGGTTTTGAGGCGTTGCGCTACGCTGTTTAAATAGCAAATGCATTAGCGCTCATATGTGCGCCCATAGGCGTTCTGATCTAAAAAGCAGACTAAAAGTTTCAACAAAAAGTTTCTCTATTTTGAGAAACTAAAATAGATTTTTCAATAAACCAAAACAAACCCGGTCTAAACTCCAGCACAGAGTTGCGCCTCGCTTACACACTGCTTAATACACACAAGAGAGCAACAGGCAATTATCTTTACATATGAAAACATTAAATATTAAGGATATATATAGGATATAATAAGAATAGATATAGAATATAAATATAAAGGATTAAAATATTACAAAACATATTATTTTCTAGCCTACATGAATATGAAAAATCACCGCCTTCATGCCTTCTTCATCTCGGGAGGCTTTTTCAGTTCATTCATAACAATTTGCTTTTGTATAATGTTATTATTATTAGCAGTATTATTTATTATATCCATATTTATATTTGTTTTATTAAACACAAGCTTAGAAATGTCCACCTGTCAGGTTTTAGACCATATGGGGCTCAGCATGTGTATTAGGATATAACTCAGTTTTCTGAGCACACTTCATTATTATTATTCATTTATTCGCTTGCTGGAAATTAGAACTGAATTCAGAAATAGCTTTGAGACAAATATTTGCGCTTAACAAACAAAAGTATTTATTTATAGACTAATTGATGTCTGTGCGTAAAGGTTTCCCTATCCAAGAGCGAAAGTGAAAGTAGATCCATTATCTCTCATTCTCACGCAGTAGATGCTCTGTTTAACAGTTTTCTGTGAACTGTTTGCTTGTGAAATGTTCAGTTTTTCCACTTAGACTTACTTTGGGTCTTGTAAATAGCGAATGCGCTCTTGGCGTGACGCAGCTGGCTCTTAAAGGGAATGGAAGATGAGACTCATAATTGGTTTATTCTCTAAACACACCTATAACTCATTAAGAAAATAAACTCAACCCTTTTAGACCATGTGCCACGGCGCAAAGCAGGTTTTCCCGTCCTTAAATTAGCAAAAACGCATCCTGACACGCCCTGAAAGCGTTTGCGCCCTGCGTTTTGCGCTCTGCGCATGAACCGTCAAAATAGAGCCCTTAATGTTCAAACTCAATTCTACGGTGGCCGAGAAAGCTGAACATGCTGCAACTTAAAAAAACAGGTGCAAATAGAAAAAAACTGCTGCAAATGATCACAACGCAAGTTGACTGTAGTTAGCTTGATGTATTTAGATTGTGGCTTTTCTTGAAAATCTTCATGAACAATTCTTATAAATCAGCATTTATGCAACTGAAGGCAAAATTTATGCAGAGGAGGAGCTGTTTTCCCTCTGCTGTGCTTTCTTCTGATAATAATTCAACAGCATAGCCTCAGGTTTACCTCACAGATCGTTCTCCTTCAACACCGAGCTCAGCGAAGGTGTGTGAGTGTGTGTGGAGACCTGCAGACTCTGAGCAGTGAAGACGAAGGTGTGTGTGTGTCATGCTGTATGTCATGAGTTTGGAGAAGGTTAGTGCAGGTGAGTTTCTGATCAGATATGAGCATGGTGAGTGTGTGTGTGTGCATCCGTGTGTGTTTGTGTAAGTGTGTGTATGCATGCATGTGCGTGTTTGATATACCCAGGTTGACAGTGAGCCGCACGCGTCCGGCCTCCAGCTCCAGACGCAGTGTGTCGGTGGTGTGTGTGGATGTGCTGGCCATCAGGACGCCGTACGCCCGCAGCGAGCGGAAGCGCAGGGACACGTCTTCAGCCTCGGTGTGCATCGCTGCAGAAAACTGCACCTTCAGGAACTTGCTGCCATCGAAAGAGAGGATGGTGGCGTCTGCAGACGGAAAGATCCGCATCATTATCATTATCAAACACACTCTCGCACTCATACACACACACCTCTCTCGCAGGAGTGTCCCAGGAATCCCGTCCCGGTGCAGTCGCAGATATATCGGCTCCATCCCTCCCTGCAGACTCCTCTGTTCAGGCAGGGCTCGCTCACACACTTCCCGGGCGGCTCTTTACCGCAGGACGGCTTCACTCCTGCAGCTCTCTGCAGCTCTGCTGCGCGCCGGACATCCACACTGCGCCCGTCGATGAACAGATCCCGCACACAGCCCACGTACCCGTAGTTCAGCAGGGCGCTCCAGGCCCCAGTGGGGAACACCGTCCCACTGGAGCTCTCCGGAACGCCGCCCAGGTACAGGGGATCATCCAGATCCAGGAGCTCGCTGTCTCCGGGGCACAGGTACGGGGTGCGCACTGAGTTGATGGAGATGGTGCCTGCGGTTCAGAGAGAACACTGAAGAATACGCTTAATATTCGAACACTCTTAAATCAAGAAGTGTTTTCTGGACAAATTAAAACTATAATTTTGGTATTAGAAATAATGCATTAAAATTAAGTGAGTTTTTGCTTAAAACAAGCAAAATAATCTGACACTGGGGCAAAAGAAATAATCGAGATTTTCGTTTTGAAATGACATCACTCTTACACTGTTATTTTCCTCTTTCTGAAAGGCTTGATAACACCATTGTGGAGTTTTTCTCCTTGACTAATGTCAGATTTACTCTCAGCCCTATAAACGCCCGCCGCATTAGAAACACTTTGACATAATCCATTCATAAATGTATATTGTTGGAATATTAAATCAATCTCATTCGTGTTCAAGAAAAAAAGGTCAGGAGAGGTTTTTCTTCCATGTCAAAAATCGTAACAATTTATTGGATACTGTGAGGGACCAAGCAGACAAGGGCAACGAACACAAAGTTTCCAAAAGAAAATAAATGTATTTATTATGAACAAAATGACAAATTAAAGCATTTGAATAAATTAAAGTCAAATCTAGACTTAAAGCAAACAAAACATAACCAAATCATACAAACAAACGAAGAGAAAAAGAAAAGCAGACCTCTCTTCAAACACAAAAACGGGACTTATATACACAGAAGACAGGGACTAGTCCATTAAGAAAAAGTTGACTAAAACATCACAAACTAATACAAAACAACCACCAAACATAGGCAAAAAATACACTTAAAGTTAATTAATCAATACATAAACAAACTAGCAATTCAATTACTACTAATAAACAAAAATAAACATTCCAACACCCCCCTCAGCCAATTAGTATTTTGGTTTGGTCAGGCGGAACAAAATGTCGGCAAATGTGGCCAGCTGGTCCCTTAGAGCAACCGGACCTCCATCTGGAGCACTGAGCCACGCCATCCTGGATCTCACAGGTAACTTAAACTCAAAGAAATAAATGTCAATAAATCTTGTCAAAAGAACTAGAAAGTGTGCACTCCAAACTAGTAACCTATGACATGAAATTATTGGAAATGAAAATAAAAATGTGAAGTGTATTAAACTGTGTCTGTCATTATTGTGTAGAATCTGTAACTAATATGACAAATGCTAAATTAAGAATTATAAAGTGTGGTTGTGTGTGTGTATATACCCATGTTTAATGTGGGGACACACTGTTGGCCATCACGGATACAAATGAATAATTCGATTCACAGAATTCTGTTATCCTCAACGCAATGCAGAAGTTACATTAAGGAGGTGCGCAACCCCTTTATTTTCCCGGCTTCAACTTATATAGGCAGCTGATATTAACAGGTGGAGTTTAATGAAATTCGTCATTTGTCAGTCATTGTTCAGTCCTCCATTGGCCGCACCCCAGACATACTTCCTCTTTTTCAATTAATTCTCTGCACAACAAAAAAAAGCATACGACTTTCTGTGCTCTTAGTTTTAACACCTCTCTTCAGACAGGAAGTTTCTGCAGAGCTGAATTTAATTTTGGACCCGCATCTATATACTTCTGCAAAAATGCTAATTAGTATGCACAGCACTCACACACAAGAGTAGAAGTTCAGTTAATATATGACCCTTACATGACCAATACAAATAATTGTTTGATTAAAAGAAAAAGAGACTAATTTTAAAAAATGATTCCTATTTTCCAACAATATAAATGTTTAAACATTTTTTTTTAAATCTAAATATTAAAAACTGTCAAGGATTTAAGATTATGATGACCGTTAAATGCGTCAAACCAGTCTCAAACCAGAAAAGTGTCCATACTTTTTTGATTTATGTAACACAATTGATAATCTGAACAAACATGGCACATTGTAGTGCATGATTTGTTAAAAATTGTTAGAAATTGTTAAAATAGACCTCTAGTTCGTATTTACCACGTCTCCCTTCTCGTTTGGTCGAAACCTGAAATACTGCCAAACTGCAGAGGTTGTGCGACTCGCCATCTTACCTCACCTCTCTCTCTCTCCTCCGTACTGTCCCGTAATGACAATCATGCGTACACATTTTTAGGCATTAAATAAATTATATTTGATATTTAATACTAGTCTCCTATTTAAGTGCATTGTTTTTTATGAAGGTATAACGGTATTGAAACTCATCTTTGCTATTTTCACCATATTACCGCCCAAGCCTAATCTCCTCACCCATTGTCAGATTATTTTGCTTGTTTTAAAGAAAAACTCGCTTGATTTTGACTCATTATTGCTGAAAACAAGACTATTTATTTTGCTGGTCGAGAAAATGCTTCTTGATTTAAGAAGTTTTAGATATTTGGACTGGAAACAACACAAAAGATCACTTTTGCAATGTACACAAGCCTCAGCAGAATGTTACCTGATTTCCCGTCCCTCTGGAAGTCCACATGATACCACTCTCCATCATTGACTTTTTTGTTCAGCGCCAAAGTCTTGGTGGTCCCAGATCCCATATCCAGCAGCAGATACAGCAGACCGTCCAGCATTTCAATGGCAAAGAAGTCCACCTTCAGCGTGACAGGACTCTTGGCCTCTTTATTATGCTGCTTTGCTCTCCCGCAGCTGAACAGCAGGAGGCCGTTGGGTTCGGTGGTGCGGAAGTCGAAGGAAATGGAGCCGCTTTTCTTGGCGTTCCACTTTGGCAGCGTCAGGAAGGATTCTGGGGTCTCAAACGTGATGGCATCCAATGTGGCCACACTCTCACACTTAAATGCAACCACTCCGTGGATCTGCAGTTTTGGGTCTCCTTGATAGGCCAGTCTGGACAGCTCCAGCTCAGCGTCATTGTTTTTATATACAACCTGTAAACACACAATAATGTCATTTGAACACACTGCTTTCTTCTAAAAATTCTTAAATTAATAAGCATTTTCTAGACAAGTAATAAATATTACAAATAAAATAATAATAATAATAATAATAATAATAATAACAATAATAACAATAATAATAATAATAATAATAATAACAATAACAATAATAATAATGACAATAACAACAATAATAATAATAATAACCATAATAACAACAATATAACAATAACAACAACAATAATAATAATAACAACAATAATAATAAAAATAATAATAATAACATTAATGATAATAATAATAACAATACAATAACAATATAACAATGATAACAATAATAATAATAATAATAATAGTATTAATAACAACAACAACAACAATAATAATAATAACAATAATAATAAAAAAGTAATAACAATAACAATAACAATAATAATAATAATAATAATAATAATAACAATAACAATAATAAAAATAAGAATAATAACAACAATAATAATAATAATAGTAATAATAACAATAAAAATAATAACAACAATAATAATAATAATGATAATAACAATAATAACAACAACAACAACAACAACAATAATAATAATAATAATAATAATAATAATAATAATAATAATAATAATAATAGAAATAAAATGTTATTTGAACAAAAATAATTTGATTTAAACTGTATGCACTCCCTTATTTTGGCATTTTATTTTCTTCTTGCTTCTTGATTTAAGCATTTTTAGATACCTGGACTAGAAAAAATCTAAATATGAAAAGCATTTTTAGCAGTGTAAACAAACCGCCTAACCACTGTAACATATCGTCTTATTTTTCCCAATATTAAAAAGTCCTGTAGTGTTTTTGTCGAATCAGTGTGAAGCTAACAGGCCTAAAGTGACATCATAGCTCCTCCACACTGTTATATACAGTATTTGAAGTCAATCTTCCTGATTGAGATCACTCACATGAACGTAATCGTGCTCTTATTTAGGTTACAGTATCCAGGATAACATTAAAAGTCAAATCCTCTCTCCCCAGTGTAAACAAAGAGCATCAGCACTCTGTGAGATTGTTATACATGCGCACGTACAGTACATCCCGACACACAGCAGAACCTTTGTGCTGTCAGTAATGCTAATAATGTTGTCTATAATGTTCAGTTTCTTGCACAGAGCAATCGTTTCACTTCATAAGACCTCATTGTAGACCTCGACACGAGCAGAGAATACATTCAGCTGGTCAAATGCAATGATTATCTACAACAATGACCCTTGAATACCAACAAAAATTAAAATACATGCTGGAAAAAGTGGATTATTTAGCCGAAAAATTTAAATTTACTCACTATTTACTCTCTTTTTTTCATATTTTCTTCCTTTTTGCCAATGAACACAAAAGAAGATATTTTGAAAAATGTTGGATGCCATTAGCCATTGACTTTCATGGTCTTTTAATCTAGTTTCAAAGTATCTTCTTTTGTTTTCATCAGAGGATAGAAACTAAAAGATGTTTGGAACAAATGAATAGTCAATAAATGATGGCAGAATTGTCCTTTTTGTGTGAACTTACGCTTTAAGGTTAAGTGTAATACAGGGCTGCACAATATATCACATTTCATATCGCAATGTTTGCATCTGCAATAGTCCCATCGCAGGATCTGCAATCTCGAGATTATAGCTGACCAAGAGCCACAGTGGAAAACACTCATGATCTGTGGTGTCATTGTGAAGTTTAATCCTAAAGTTACTCAAATGTTTGTCGTTTGCGTGTGTTTTTAGGCCTATCAAGCCAGGAAAAACATTCAGGCACAAGAAATTATACTGCTTGTAACTTTAAAAAGGATTCATTGTAATTACACTCATATACAGTGAAGTCTATACAGTGTTAGTGGACATTTTTAATCTGTGTACCTGAATATTGCTAGACTCCCAAAAACTGCATAAAATACAATAAACCAGCAAAAATGCAAGTGAAATAAACAGATACACTCCTCTACAAAATCATCTTAATCAGTCTAAATGACTAGGTAGCTCCGCCCTAAATGACTGATAGCCCTGCCCCCTAAAGGACTGAACTCTCCGCCCTAAAGTACTGATAGCTTCGCCCCCCAAAGGACTGATAGCCTTGCCCTAAAGAACTGATAGGCCCGCCCAAATGACTGACAGTTCTGCCCTAAAAAAAGAGTGATAGCCCCACCTTAAATGACTGATTGCCCCACCCAAATAGACTGATAGCCCCGCCCCAAATGACTGACAGTCCCACTCTAAATCACTGATAACCACGCCTTAAATGACTGATAGCCCTGCCCTAAATGAACAATAGCCCCACTTTTAAACCCTGATAGCCCCACCCCAAATTACTGATAGCCCCACCCCAATAGACTGATAGCCCAACCCCATATGATTGATAGTCCCACTCTAAATCACTGATAACCATGCCCTAAATAACTGATAGCCCTGCCCAAAATGAACGATAGCCTCCTTCTTAAACACTAATAGTCCTGCCACAAGACTGATAACCACACCCTAAATGACTGACAGCCCTGCCCTAAAACACAGATAGTCCCACCCTAAATGACTTATAGCCACACCCTAAATGACTGGTAGCCCTGCCCAAAGATCCACATCCTAAATGACAGTTAGCTCCGCCCTAATTGACTTGTAGCTCTGCCTCAAATGAGTGATAGCCCCGCCCCAAGAGACTCATAGGTCCACCCTAAAGGTAGATAAAAATGTATTTAATTTTAACAAAAATGAAAGGTAGAGGGCATATTAATTTTTGCTAAATAATGACGTGACAGATATACTGCATATAACAAACACAACTATCTACAAATATGAGCACACTTCATTGTGATTCGATTGTGACTCTAAGCTCTACACAGCCTGCACTGATTTGGTGTGGCAGTTTCTTTACCTCCCTCAGACAGCCCATGAAGTTGTTGCTGACAGGAGATTCGGGCAGGTCGGCTGTGCTGGGACTCCCTCCGACATACAGAAAGTCATCAGAGCCGAGCATGGTGTACTCCTCCTGAGTGTATCCTGTGGTGGTCAGTATTCCGTCCACAGATATCGTAACCTGCAAAACAAACCACAGGAGGAGGAGGAGGAGAGCAGCTGGATACTTTCTGAACTCCTGATCCTTCAGTCTCTTTCATATGAATGCTGCATAATGATGATGCAATGGAAAGCACATCAGATCTGAAGCCCTACAGAATCATGCCAGTCTATTGGCTGAAGGTGATCATGACTTTGCAGTGCCACCGCCAAAATAATGGAATAAACTTTTCCATATTAGAGCGGCTCCCACTCTTCTGTTTATTACTTGAGTCCCCATATAGACATCTGATAAACGACAATATATGCAAATTACATGTGACAGGATGAAGTTGGACAGGACATCTTGTTCATTTCATCTCAAATCCATTGTGTTGGTGTATAGAGCCAAAAAATTTTGAATTGTGTCGATGTCCAAATATTTATGGACCTAACTGCATATATATACGACAAAATGACTATTTTATATAGACAGACAGATAATGGATGGATAGACAGACAGACAGACAGACAGACAGACAGACAGACAGACAGACAGACAGACAGACAGACAGACAGACAGACAGACAGACAGACAGATAGATAGATAGATAGATAGATAGATAGATAGATAGATAGATAGATATACTTTATAAACATACACAAAATAAGAGAAATAAACTGAATGATATTACCATAGCATATCCAACGCCTGAGTGCTGTGTGGAAAAGAAGAAAGCAAATTATAAACTGTGACTGAATATCATCTGTCATTCACAAAGTAAATGTATGATGATCACCAATGTGAATATTTAAAAGCTAAAGAAACACTTGGTTAGTATAAGGGCACATTCCCTCTGTGCTTTTAGTAATTGTGTTTATTCAGTACGTGATGCATTAGTGTGGGCATCTCAATGTCTAAAAACTGGTCCTATAGAGTGGATTATTGACCTGACTACTCTTTCAGCAGTGCTGGTTTTGAAAGTTTGATTTTTTTTATTTCTGGTATTTTAACCCTTGTGTGCTGTTGGGTTGTTTTTATCCACTCTGGGCTGATTTTAACACTAAATTTAAGCATAGATTTCACTGTGTTTTAGCAAATGTGATGATTTTTTGGTGACAGATTCTATTTTGACACATGTTTTGGGAAAATGCTTTGAACAAAACTCATCAACACACTGTTCAGGTTGACTCCCCTTTCACGAGTTCACACTCATATTTTTGACTGAATAGAATATGCGTATTTGGTGTGCTGTCCGGGGAGAGGGCTCTGAGCTCGTGAAGACACCCTAACTCATATTATTCCCCTTATCAGGATAGAGAGAGATAGGGTCCACAATGTCTAGCTCGGCTCCAGATTTAAATGGGTATCGGGTTTAATATTGTGGAGTTGGGGTGGTGGAGGGACGCTGAAGTCGAGAGAAACGGAATTATGTTGTGTTTGACTATTTATAGAGGTTTGCTCTTGAGCTGATTGGATAATAGAATGATTGTGTGTGATGATCTAGCCTCGTCAAAGACTGATCGTGCTCCTCCCGAAATGTGTTTATAAAACATCACTTGGTGATGTTGGTGCTGTTTTTGCTCCATTGACCTCCATTATAACCACATTTAATGATTGCAAAGCCATGACAGCATATAATCATGCATTCTTGATTGTTGGTAGCTTTCCCTGTAAGAAAGAGGGACAATTTAAATGTATTATCTTTCTATTCCTGTGGATATTCAGATGAATAACTCTTATTATAAAGGATATAACTGTTTAATAAACTGTTTTGCTAAAATGCACCAAAATATTTAGTCTACATCCACTGAGTAATGGACAAAACTATTCAAGAGTGGGTTTACTCATTTATGCTGAGCACTGTATTAGTAATATTGATTCTAGATTATTTATCGATACCATAATCAATACCATAAAAAGTGATTTTTGTGCAATGATGTCTATAATATTGGCATTTGTAGCAAAGTCTTGACTGAATAATTGCTGTTTACTTGTTTTTAGCAGTTACCTGACGCAAATTCCGCAACACTTTCACATCATGCCATTCGTTGTCGTTAAATTTCCCATTGACCGGCTCCACCAGAGCTTCAAACGCCCCCGAGCCCAAATTTATGACCAGCGACACCGCCCCGTTCTTCAGCGCCAGGTTGACATAATCTGCGATTTTGCCGGTGTGCAGCATGAGTCCGTTTCTCTGCAGAGTTCTGAAGGACAGTGTGATTTCATCGCTGCTGCTTTGGATGGGGTTCAGGGAAAGATCGTAGCAGAAGTATTCTGAACCTCTGAACGTGGCCACATATTCCTCCATTCCTAAAAACGATGAAGAAGAGATGGGGATGACACACATTTGACCCTAACCCAGAAATGCTGCTCTGCTGTCTGTATAATGCACAAGTGGATGCGAGTAGTGATGGGAAGTTCGGATCATTTCACTGACTCTGACTTCTGAGTCTCAATCATCGAGACGAGCAAATCTTCATTCATTGATTTTCTTTTCACTTAGTCCCTTTATTAATCTGGGGTCGCCACAGCAGAATGAACCCCCAACTTATTCAGCATACGTTTTACGCAGCAAATGCCCCTCCAGCTGCAACCCATCACTGGGAAACATCCTCACACTCTTGCATTCACACACATACACTAAAGACAAATTAGCTTACCCAGTTCCCCTATAGCGCATGTGTTTGGACTGTGGGGGAAACCGGAGCACCCGGAGGAAACCCACACCAACATGGGGAGAACATGCAAACTCCACGTGCTAATCACTAATCACTAAGTGAATCTTTTTTTGAGAAATTTCATTCAAATTTGCTAAAATAACATTATAATGGTTCAAGTTAAGGGCAGCATGGTGGCTCAGTGGTTAGCACCGTGGCCTCACAGCAAGAAGGTTGCTGGTTCGAGTCCCGACTGGGTCAGTTGGTGTTTCTCTGTGGAGTTTGCATGTTAATAGGATTAAGAACAAGTCTCCTCCATTTAGCCTCTTTACTTTCTCTTCACTTTACTTTACTCCTTTACTTTACTCCTTTACTTTGGTGGAGTGAGGAAATGGTGGAAACTCTCTCCACTGAACACATCCATTAGCCCACATATTTAATCTCCTTTGTTAAGAGCAAAGATTTGCCTCAAAACTGTTTCTAAATTCAGCTCTAATCTCCAGCAAAGGAATAAATAAACAATAATAATGAAGTGTGCTCAGAAAACTGAGTTATATCCAAACACACGTCCTGTTATTATGCCCCATATGCTGATGCAGACGTCTCCAAAACCCCACAGCTGGACACATCTACACTTGTGTTTATTAAACAACAAAAATATTCATTGATTGCTTACCTGGTGTTTTGTCTATGATTAGCTCAGCTCACCTCTTCTGACATGTCTTTAAATTTGAGTGGTTAGTTCTCATGACACAGACAGACCCATATAAGCTTAACCAATGAACACAGTAAGAGCAGAAGACCCCGGATTAGTTCACCTTTCGACTCTTCAGGTTTTTAAATCATTCGTTTATCAGAGAGCTCGAGAAATAAACAGATCTTTTTCCAGCTCTAAATGCACATGATTGGTCTTTCATGTGATGAACGAACGACTCAAACCTGAGCTCGAAAGAAGGAGCTAATCTTCTCAACCTTATGCACAAATGTGCGCATGCGTGAATGAACGAATCACTCCCTGAGACGACTCATCGTTCTCGAGTGACATAAAAGATTCGGTAAAAATAAATTAATTGTTCAAGAATGACCCATCACTAGGTATTGAGCACTAAACAACCAGAACAACATTCATGAAACATGAAATTCTCTAATTTTCATACTATCCATCCTAATCAGTGTGCGAAAATAGAATTAGTGTCTCAAAACATTCATTCATTCATTTTCTTGTCGGCTTAGTCCCTTTATTAATCCGGGGTCGCCACAGCAGAATGAACCACCAACTTATCCAGCAAGTTTTTACACAGCGGATGCCCTTCCAGCCGCAACCCATCTCTGGGAATCATTCACACACACACTCATACACTACAGACAATTTAGCCTACCCTATTCACCTGTACCGCATGTCTTTGGACTGTGGGGGAAACCGGAGCCGTCTCAAAACATAGTACGTTAAAATTAGAAATCCAAACGAAAGACGTGCCCTCCCGTGAGACCCAATAAAAAGGTCAAAATGAAGTGAGTTTTTCTTTAAAGCTGGCAAAATAATCTGCCAATGGCGTGAGAAAAATAATTGTATGTCAAAAGGAAAACAAGATTATTCTGCTTCCCCCAGTGTCAGATTTTTTGGCTTGCTTTAATCAAAAACTCTCTTCATTTTACCTCATTATTGTCTGGAAAATGCTTCTTGATTTAAGATCCAATGAAGTGCTCCAATGACCAGCACCAGGTCAACACTGGATTCATGAGGTAGCTCATGCACAATAAAAAGAGAAGTAATGCAGAGAGGGAAAAGAAACAGAGGCCATACCTCGATCCAGCATCATCAGGTGTGCCAGACCTGAAAGACAAACAAGAACAAGTGATTACGAAAACTGAAGCATCTAATCAACAATACTGCAGGAAGCAATCAATAATGGCTGCACAATATATCATGTTAAGAGTTCACACTCAGCTGATGACTGGTAATAAGCGTGTTTGGTATGCTGTGCCAGGAGAGAGCCTTAATAAGATTCTTAAGCCCTGGGCTCCCTCCCGTTAGCAGGGCGAGAGGGGAGTTTGAGCTCAGATAGATCTTAATGAACTCCCACAACTTATTTCTGAAGAATGACAGATATAGGGATGGCTCATGAGAGATTTACGACTGACTAAGAGCTCGACTATAATGCCAATGTGGTATGTTCAATTCACTAAGGTTGCGTGTTTTTTGGACTTTTGGAGGAAATCGGGGACCCTGGGGGATACCCACGCGAGCACGGGGAGAACAAGCAAACTCTAAACAGAAATGTTGACTGGTTCAGTAGGGACTTTAACCAGTGACATACTTGCTGTGAGGCAACAGTGCTAATCACTGGGCTCCAGTGTCGCCCAATCTAGAAAGAAGGAGGGGTAGGGGTGGGATTTCTTCCAGACGAAGATACTGAGATAAGAAACCCTGGTTATTAGTGAGTTAGGAATCATCTGATTGATGAATTCAGTGTTAGCTAATGCAGGACCAGCTGTGGTCAATCATAAGCACGTAATCCTCTCGAAAGTACTTTATACACAAACTTCACTTAATGAGCATCAATATCGGATTGTGATCGTTCGCAATAGTCACATCGGAGATTATGCAAATTTTGAAACAAGCTCCAAATCGAATAAAACATGAATAATTCAGATTTTAAAAGGAACTTTAATTTAAAATTACATTATGCCAGAGTTTCCCAAACCTGCCAAAAGTTTTATTGTGATAATATAAATTTGCATAATATATATATATATATATATATATATATATATATATTTATATATATATATATATATGCATGTAAATGACCATTAACTGACATGAGGAAACTGTGTAAATAGCAAATATTAACTTAATAAAATATTCATTACCTTAAAATCTCAGAGGACTTTAATATTTGAGGTCAAAGAAATTAAAAGTTTTCAAACATCTTAAAAACTGCAAAGAGATCCTCAGAGTCTTGAGGCAGTGTTTAACTCGCATAATTATCCATCCTAATCATACCATAACTGAAGCAGAGCTGCTTCTGTCCCCAATTCACAAGCATGAATAATTAATCAACAATAATTAGTCATTTGCATTTCATTTATATTCTATGCACAGTTAAATTATTACGGTAGGAAAGGAAAAATTGTTTGGGGGACATGGTGGCTCAGTAGTTAGCACTGTGACCTCCCAGCAAGATGGTCACTGGGTCAGTTGGCGTTTCTGTGTGGAGTTTGCATGTTCTCCCCGTGTTGGCGTGGGTTTCCCCCGGGTGCTCCGGTTTCCCCCACAGTCCAAACACATGCGCTATAGGGGAACTGATCAACTAAACTGTCCGTAGTGTATGAGTGTGTGCAGGCGTATGGGTGTTTCCCAGTGCTGGGTTGCAGCTGGAAGGGCATCCGCTGTGTAAAACATATGCTGGAATAGTTGGCGGTTCATTCCGCTGTGGCGAACCCTGATAAATAAGGGACTAAGCCGAAAAGAAAATTTATGAATGAGAATTGTTTATCACGTAATCCATAGAAAGAAACCTTCATCTGATTAAAAGCATTTTAAAACATGATATAATACAATTACAAGTGCATTATTTTTGGAACCTGTTTATGTAATCCAGATTACATCTAATTAACTGCGACCCAGAACTGCACAATTTGAACAATACAGGACTGGCATTAATAATCACACGCAGATGGTGGGTAATAATGTTCGCTAATTAACTGAATTACAATCCCTTATGCATTTATATAAATTATAGAGTGAGATTTATGTCATTTAGATATAAAACCGATGCATGCTTTTGTGTTTAAGAGCATATTTAAATCCATATACTATATCAGGAGGGTCTTTCAGATGCATTTATTTTAATTAATGCAACACACATGCATTCATTGATGCATAACAAACAAAACCCCTCATCCCCTGTAGGATCATACTCTGACAAATGTTGCTGAAAGGCTAAATTAGGAAAAACAATTGTTATTTGTTATCATTAATTATTACATTAGCTGAAAATGAAAAGCATTCTGTTGGGATGCATGAAAAAAACAGCTGGAAAATGTGTTAATTCTGCGTACTTCACATATAAAAGCTAGGAAATATCTATAAATGATGCATGAATTTCATCTGAAAGAGAGATGTTGAGTAAAGCTCGTCCATAATGTGATTTCCGATATCCAGAATTACAACAGAGCAGTGCATCAAAGTAATTATTTTAGCAAAGCAAAGAGATTTGTGTGTGTGAGACGGAGACACAGTGGCAAATCCCATAATCCTCTGATCAAAGTAATGAAAAAAGCCTTGAAATCATTTAATGGAGAGTCGGAATTTCAAATAATAAGCTGCATTGTTAGAAAATATACCAGACGCGGCAGTGAGACGCAGTCGAGTTCATCGCCTCATTGATTTATGGAGGAAGATGCGGTTATTGATCTGACTATTGATTGTGTGTTCTCAACTCTTGTTGATGGGAGATCTATACTGCCTCTTTGCACAAGATGTAAATGCGTCTGTGAAGTCTCTAGAGTGTATGTGAAGTTTCAGCTAAAAATAGCTCATAGATGATGTTCTCCAGCTCTCTGAAACTGACCCTTTCAGGCTTTGATCTTAACTGTGGTGTTTTAATGCCCGTCGCTTTAAATGCAAATTAGATTTTAGCGGAGCTACAGATGCCTGTGTGTCAGATGTAAACACCAGTGTGTGTGTTGTCAGTGCTGGTCAGGTGTGCTTCAGTGTGAGTGTGTGCTTGCAGCTTCTGTCAGTCTATGTGGCTCCTGTCGCTGTTCATCTACAACTCCACGTCTATAATCCTCTTAGTCTATGCTGACATTATCTTCAGCAGCTCAAACACTCTAACGGATAGACGGCTGCTTCTCACTCAGAACTGACCCTACCATGATATGGGAGTTTTGACCATATTTGGAAGGGTCATGAATATTAATGAGCTCTGCTCTGCCACTTTGCAGCTCATGCCAGTGCCATATATCCTGCAAGATGTATCTTCTGCCAGTTCAACATGTGACATTTGCCCCGTATGTTTTGTAATGAGGCAGCAAATACATGTAGACAGCTGAATATAAGCGTTCAATAGAATTTATACACTTCAATTTATGCATGTTGTCATATCACTCAGCTCTTTCTGTTTTTTTTTTATTGTTGAGTGAAAAGGTGCCAATAAACGTCAGAAACTCATCGCTTTTTGCAAAAGCTGATGATAATACCTGCCTGTGTTTTCATATACGTTAAAGCTCCGAATACGACAGTCCCTTTTTTCAGGTATAATTATAATTTAGCCTGTATTTCATCCACAACTCAGGAGCAAAATAGGTTACTCTGATGGCATTAAGACATATCTAGCTCACTCGTTCCAGCTAAAATAAACCTCTCCACCACTTTAGTTGAAAATATCATTAACAAGGATGCTCTGTGTGCATGTGTGTGTATGTGTGTGTCAGGCATTGAGACGAGCTGCAGAGTGAAAACAGCATGAGTCTCTCTAATCTGTGAACACACTAAACGATGATCTGCTCAGTGTTTAATAGCACTATTATCAGCACGTTGCAAACACTGTTTAGTGAAAGCTGCTGGTCAGTGACCTCTAAACACACACACACACACACACACAGGTATTACGAATGCTCTAAAACTCACAGCATCTACATTATAACTGTTGCTGATGAATCCAAAGCTTTAGTTATTCTAGAGTCCAAAATATAATCAATATCAATATCTGAAACCTTGATACTGTACTTTATGCAAAAAACAAATTCTTCTTCAATAAAGTCTTGTTTTCCAGTACAAATGTTTATTTTTTTATTAAAAATTATTAAATAAACACACTGTACATTTACTTCAGAAGCAAGAGTGTGCATTTTTGTTAGAGTTCATGCTTAAAACATGTTTCTGCCGACGGGGGTCTGAATAATACGTCAAAAAAGTGTTGCTTTTGACACAAAACTACATTTCTCTGGCAGATATTTGCTTAGTTTATCAGGAATTAATGGTTATATTCTCTTTTGTTTCTCATTAGATGAAAACAGCACTTGGTTTACTAATGTTTTGTGTGTTATTCCAGTTTGTGCATGGATCTTATTCACATCTTTGGATGGAAACACAGCTAATGTCAAGCAAAAGTGTGTCTTTTTGTTAGAGTTTATACTTGTTTCTGCCGATAGGGTTGTGAATAATATGTCCAAAATATTAGATTTTTACACAAAAGTTCATTTTTCTGGCTCAAATTTGCTCCATAAATCAGGAAGTGATGATTATGTTCTCTTCTGTTTCTCATTGGATGGAAACGCTGCTTTATTGACAAGTTTTATGCGATATTTCAGTTTGTGCATGAATCTAATTCACATGTTTGGATGGAAACACAGCTAATATCAAGCAGAAGTGTGTAATTTTGTTAGAGTTCATGCTTAAAGCAACTTTCTGTCAGTGAGGGTCTGAATAATATGTCAAAAAATAGCTGATTTTGATTTTTAAAAAACTAAATTTTTCTGACGGATATTTCCACTGTTTATCAGGAACTGATGATTTTCTTCTCTTTTGTTTCTCATTGGATGGAAACGCTGCTTTATTCACTAATGTTTTATGCAATATTCCAGTTATTATATTACAGCATTATTCAAATTCACATATTTGGGTAGAAACACAGCTAATGTGAAGCAAAAGTGTGTCTTTTAGTTAGAGTTTATACCTTGAACACGTTTCTGCCGATAGGGGTCTGAATAATGTGTCTAAAACAGTTTTTTTTGACACAAAACTACATTTTTCTGGCTAATATTTCCTCCAGTACAGGGGTGCCCAAACTCTGTCCTGGAGGGCCGGTGTCCCGCATTGTTTAGCTCCAACTTCCTTTAACACACCTGCCTGGAAGTTTTTATATACCTAGAATGAGCTTGATTAGCTGGTTCATGTGTGTTTAATTGCAATTGGAAGTAAAATATGCAAGACACTGGCCCTCCAGGACATAGTTTGGGCACCCCTGCTCTAGTACATCAGGAAGGGATGATTTTCTTCTCTATTGTTTCTCACTGCTTTATTCACTAATGTATAATGCAATATTCCAGCTTGTGCATGAATCTAAATTCACATCTTTGCATAGAAACACAACTATTGATAGTAAGTTCCTTGAGAGCTAGTCAAGTGTAGGCCTGTAGCAATATCTATTTTTGTTGTAGGATATATTGCACCAAAACATATTGCGATACAGATTATTATTGTCATTTTAAGACCATCTCACTCATTATATAATGCCAGAATGACAATATAATATCATTAATGCAAGTGCACTCTTCGTATTTCATTCTTAATAATATTTCATTTAATTACTGTCACTTTAACAATTTAATAAGTCAGAGTGTGAAAATGCATATCCTGAATAAATAATAAATGTTAACAAAAAGTGCAACATAGAGTAATAGAGGCTGCGATATCTGCCACCAGATCTATTTTCAGCCATTAAGCACTCACATGAGAATATACTATAGTAATTTATAGTCAATACTACAGTGTTTTAACCCATACTGACACTGACACCTCCAATAGAGATAGAGATGTTGCACAATCAGCTCAAATGTTGCTGGAACTGATTTTATGTATGGGCGATATATATTGCATCACCTAAAGCAGGGGTGTCCAAACTCGGTTCTGGAGGGCCGGTGTCCTGCATAGTGGTTCCAACTTTCTTCAACACATTAGCCTGGAAGTTTCTTGCATACCTAGAAAGAGCTTGATTAGCCGGTTCAAGTGTGTTTAATTGGGGTTGGAACTAAAATATGCAGGACACCGGCCCTCAAAGATTGAGTTTGGACACCCCTGACCTAAAATGACTGAGCTCATGTGTTCTGCGATAAGTCAGTACACTGTTCATTATGACAGGCCTAGTCAAGTGGTTCTAAACTTCTATGAGTTTCATTCTTCTGTTGAACACAAAACAAGACACACACTGACTGTATAACTTTATATCTTACCTTCACTGCAGTCTTTTCCCTGGTAGCCGGTTTGAGAGCAGTCGCATGTCGGTTTATCCTCAACAACACTACACACTCCTCCATTCAAGCACGTGTTCTCTGAGCCGCAGAGGTCTTCGTGGACTCCAGCGCTGCTAATTATCGCAGGCTCAGAATCGTTGACTTTCACATCCATTATCCAGCCCGTAAACGAAGTGTGATCTTTCACAGTCTTGGACGTCAGCTGTAAAGACACCGACCTCAGCTCTGAGGGAATCCCTCCTAAAAATAAGTGGCTGAAAACCGTCATGTCTCGCCTTTGGGATTTAACCTCCTCCCACTTTACCTCGTCGTCCACGATGAGTGTGGTGTTTCTGAAGTTCCTCATAATCGAGACCGAATGCCATCGGTTGTCATTGATGGCGACGTCAGAAAGCACGCATGTGGACTCGGCACAGAAAATAGAAAAGCACAATCTGAGTTTCCCAACGTGCACGTGCAGCTCGAGGAAATCGCAGAAGCCTTCGTCATCAAAGTACACCAGGAGGCCATTCAGATGTGTGGTTTTCACACTGAAGCTCATTTCGCTCTCGCAGCAAGCGTTCCACATCGGAAACGCAACCCATTGTTCGTCGGATCCTGTAAACCTGAGACTAGATCCAGCGTTCGCTTTACATACAATTAGTCCGATAAAAAGCAGATGAGCACCCAAGTGAAGAATCATCATGAAGATGTTTGGCATGTTTATAATAATAATAATCTATAGGAAATCTCCAAATTATGCATGCCAAAGTAGGTTTAAGGTGGCACCAGATGTTATTGTTGCAATTAATTGCAGATTGGTAGACGGTATCATCACAATATTGGGCTAAACTGCAAAAAAGGTTATTTTAAAAGGTATAATAACGAAACAATACCTAGTGTATTGCTTTACTGTATATAAAAAAAGAGCGTTTAACTAAATTAAATGGATAAAGTACAATAGTTAACACTTTACAATCAATTTTCCTTAGTAAATTAATAAAAAACCCAGATTTATTACAGTTACTAAGTTATTCTTAGCTTAAACTATATTAACTACATCGAATAAAATGATTATGACTTGTAATCAGATTATGACTATGATTTTAATGTGTTATCAATTACAAATCAGAGTATGACTACAATTTTAACACAATATTAGGCATTAACTAAGAATTAACATCAGCTAAGATTAGTAAATACTTTGGTGGATTAATGCAATTAACTAATGTTCCCTATTAGAGTCTTATTGTACAGTGCTAATGTCCAATAATATTATAAACAATCATATCATTTTCAGCCAATATTCCTAATTAACATGTGAAATTATTGATGTTTGAACAATTAAGAAATTAATTAACCAATTAAGCATAATCAAGCATTTGGTTCTGTTGTGAATGTTATGATTAAATATACTTAAAAATCCCTCTAAAATACTTTAAATAACTAATAATTCACTGTATTTTGAAGTGAGCATGATATCAATATTGTGCATGTTTATATTAATAATATATTTTGAATTATTATATATATGTCACCATATTTCTACACCAAACTGCCGGGACGTTTCTACATGCATAGACACCAATCTGCATCTATCTTCACGTCATCCACCTTCTCTGTGTGTTTTTCCGATGCACAATCCAGTGTGTCTCCAGTGTTCAGTGTAATCCATCTCTGTGCAGACGCGCGAGTTATTACTAATTATTGTAAATCGTAGGGTTAAATCCTCCGTCATCTGACGCAGGGAACAGACGTCATCTCAGCACAGGTCTATAGACACTGCAGATACAAAGATAAACAAACAGAAAAACATTTCGGCTGGCGGTTTCCCTGACATCTCAAGAAAATTATGCATTATGTGTTTACAGTAACGGTTCCCAGAAACACAGAGCTTCTGGACGTCTCTCTATCTGACTCATCTGTTTCAGGGCTCCGAGCCTCTGCTAATGAGCTGATGAGTTCAATATTGTGTTAGACACCAGAAAATGTGTGGCTGATGATGGCGTGCCTCCAGGAACAGGGAAACACTGTGTGTTTTGAGTCCTAGCAGACTGTTTTATCATTGTTTGGATTATTTTCTGAGCTTTACAGTTGTGAAGTTACGCTCAGAAAATGCTAGGTTGGGCAACACAATGGCTCAGTGGTTAGCACTGTGGCCTCACAGCAAGAAGGTAGCTGGTTCGAGTCGCGGCTGGGTAAGTTGGCGTTTCTGTGTGGAGTTTGCATATTCTCCCCATGTTGGCGTGGGTTTCCTCCGGGTGCTCCAGTTTCCCCCACAGTCCAAAAGCATGCGCTATAGGGGAACTGATGAGCTAAATTGGCTGTAGTGTTTCCCCATTACTGGGTTGCAGCTGGTAGGGCATGCTCTGCGTAAAACATATGCTGTATAAGTTGGTGGTTCATTGCACTGTGGTGACCTCTGATGACTAAGCTGAAGGAAAATGAATGAATGGAAATGCTAGGTTGTTGTTGTAACCAATTGTTGGGTCAAACGTGGGCAAACCCAACCATTGGGTTATAAAGTGTAATTTAACTTTAAGTGAAAAATTACTTCATTTTGTCTATATTTGACCCAAGGTTGGGTTACTAAACTGAGCCTTTTTTTTATTTTCAAAGATGTATTTTTAGGTCAACAGAATCAACCAAAAGAAATAAGAAGCATGCTATTAGTATACATTTGGACAAAAATTAGACAGCATCTGCCCTCAATTAAAACATTTCTGGTTCAGTGTTTTTGACACACTCACTAAATCTATTAACATAAATCTAGACCCTAACCCCTTGACAGCGCTTTTTGGTATTTCAGAGAGAGTTGACCTGACTGTTGCATCTCAACAAGTTATTGCCTTTTCTACTCTTCTAGCTAGACGAGCCATTCTTATCAAATGGAAACAGGTGATTCCTCCATCACATGACATGTGGATCCGAGAAATTTTTAGTTATATAAAACTTGAAAAATTACGCGGTTTACTTGCAGGATCTCTCAAATCTTTTTACAAGACCTGGAACCCTGTTTTAGACTATATCAAAGTCTTACCTTGTTTAGTTGATATCAGATCTAATAAACAGTAATTAATTGAAAAGAGGAAATATTGACTCCTTAATGTGAACTTTTAATTACTATTTTTTCAATTGTTATTATTATAATTTTATTTATTTTATTTTTATTTTTTTGCTTTTATCGTAAACTTGCTCATTTATTATTATACTGTTTAACAATTTCTTTTAATTCTTGTATTTTATTTTTAATTTATTATTATTTCTTTCATACATTTGAATTTATTTTATTTTAAGGGGAAAGTGGGAAAATAAGAAAAATAAGACACTCTGTAATTTTTCCCTTGTTGTATTGTATACTATGATGTATTGTCTTGTTAATCTCAATAAAAAAATAAAAATAAAATAAAAATTAGACAGCATGATTTCAGTGTAGGCCTGTCTCGATAAGGAATGTTTGTTGTATGATAAATCGTCACAGAAATTGCTGTGATAAGATATATTATTGTCATTTCGAGTATATTGAAATACTTATCATTCTTAGGGTTATTTAGATTAGATTTGATGTTAAAAAGGTAAATGTCCTATTTTATACACTTTTAAATATCCTAATAGGTAAATGTCCAATCATAAAATTTAACAGTTGTGAGGTAGAATGTAAAAGTAATTGTAAAATGGCTGGACTGGATGACTAAATTAAATTGCTATTATTTATTTGTATATCAAATTGTTTGTACTTTTGATAATATGTTTTCGATTGTGGGAAGTGCTTCAGGTGGAGTGTGCTGCTTGTTTGTTTGTTATGATGTGTTTGTTTTCTAAACTTTTTAGGGGCCTCCTCGAAAATTAGATGATTCATCAGTCCTATTTAATAAATAAATTCAAATTTTAAACAAGTAGTTTGAACAAGCAGCAACATTCTTTGTTTTTGAGTTTATTGTTACGTGTTAAGTTTACTAGATTTAAAAACATATGCCAGTGTAGTCCTGTGAAATAGTACAGTTAGTACAGTACGCCTAAATGTCAAGTCATCTATATTTAAATAGCACTTTATACAATGTAGATTGTGTCAAAGCCTCTTTACATGAATGAAAGGGATGGATTAAAAGTCCTAACAATATTTCAAAACATTGCAATCTACACGCATTAATATACAAAGCATATTGAAGTTTATTATAAGTGAACTTACTAAAATTAACTTGAAATTCTACATATGTTTAGGGAAGACAAGTTATCATGTGTCTTTTGGCCATTTGTTTTCTGTACAGAAATATAGTCAATATATAGTAAATTTCTGTATAGTAAATGTTTTAAAGGATTGAATGCATGTAGTTATACAGCAACCCGTACATAAACATCCCTAATCTTAGTAAACGTGTGACAAAAGTCAACACATTTTATAAATAAGGATATTTCTGAATGAAGTGTGATAATATATTCAGCATCAGCGTCCATCAAGATGAATCATGCCTCGAAATAGAGCCTTAATATGGATATATATTCAGTAATATAGACACAGGTTACAGAATAACGTGATCCAGAGTTCTGATCACACGTCACTGCGTTTGATTTCATTCATGGCGTAAACAAACATCCTCACACACTTCATAAAGCACAAATACAGCTCGTGTGTTCGCCTCCTGATGGCTTCCATACACTAATAATCATAAACAGATGTGCAGTGTTCTGCTGTGTATGTGATGAATGAGGTGATCCGCCCCAGACTCAGCACAACTCCCACATGAGCTCATATTAAACAACATTTCCAAGACAGTCATGTCGTGTCATTAATCTTTTAAAGCACGTACACCATCAAACAGCATTAACGGAGCTCACCTGAATTCATTCAGAAACCGAAAGCGGCCAGAAAACGGATTTGATGACGACCGAATAAGCGCGGATCCTGTCAGTAATATTAAGCGGCTCTATCTGCAGAAAACAGGCTGCTAGTACACACAGATCGCACACTGATGATCATTAGAGAAGAATTATTTACCCTTTGCGTCGCGACTCCGGTCGGCTGGTGAAGAAGTTAGTTATTGAGGGAGAGTCGTGAACGCGCAGCGGTTGGAGCGGGTCACGTGATGTGAATCTGGCGGGAGGCGCAGCCCGCGCTTTGCAGCACCTTGGACAGCGCGCTGCTACCCAAATCAGCCATATCATTCATCCAAACACTGCTTTATCGGCTTATTTATTTAGTCAGACGTTTGTTTTGTCTCATTGTGCGATACTTAGGATCAGGAAGCCACTTTAAAAGGCAGTTTTAAAGTACACATGACAGCAAAACTAAGCATATTGATTCTGTTAGCTCACATTGCTAGTTTTGTGGCGAACAATTCATCTGTGCATGTCATTAAGAACAAAACAATAGTTTGCCCTCGTAATCTGAAACTGCACTTCCTGTTTGTTTTCAGTTCAATTCTCAGATTGTCTGTCTGAGGTATTGGGCGTGGCTAACATCACAACCACGCCCCTCCAACTGTCAACACAGAAATGGAGAGGAGGAGGAGTCTGTTAAATTGTTATAATTCCCCCCACCAGGGCTGCGTCCAAAACCGCCTACTACTCAGTAGGTAATGCATTTGAATTTAAACGTACTACTCGCCCGTAGTTCTATACAGTATGAATGTGAGCAGTATGAATGGAATTCGAACGTACTACGTCCGCCATTTTGTCAAGGTCACGTGACCTACCTGCGTAAGTTTCGTCGCCTCACTCCCATTTACAAATTCTCTAGCGGGGCATCATGGGATAGCACAGCGTGCATGTTATGCGCACTTCAGCATCTCGCCGGACGTAGTAAGTCATTCGGGTACTTCTCGCATACTGATCTTCCATTTCTATGAATTCGGACATACTACTCAGCTCGCATACTGATTTTAGCGTACCATATAGTATGGAAGTATGCGGTTTTGGATGCAGCCCAGATCTTTCTGAATGACACGCCTACTTTACTACATCCAATCAGCACACAGTAGAAAAACAAGCCACGCCCATTTTCCCTCATTTAAATTTCCGTTTTACTAGGAACTGTCTCACGATGAAAAAAATGGCCGCAATTTCCAGTTCATGCAGACTTTAAAGTAAATGTCAAATCTAAATTTATTATGTTAATTTTGCGACATTACATTGTTATTCACATAAGTGCTGTATGTAAGCTCTTCTAAAGCACAGAAATACCATAATATGTTTGCAGATACGTCAGAAACATGCTAAATAAACATTCTTGTTTACATGAAAAACAATGCTAAAGTCATATATTCTGCTTTGAACATGTGTGTTCAGTGTAGGGACATCTTTGTTTTGA